CCTCTCTTTAAAAAAAAAAAAAAAAAAAAAACTTATTTTTTTTTGCAATTAAGAGTTAAATTGAATTTTGGAGGATTAATTCTAATTAATGAAAACATACAGTGTAGATATCATAACTGATAAGCTAATTGTAAGGAAAAGTTTTAACGAGTTACAATTTCTAAGAATTGTTTACGTCTACGTATTTTCAATGCATATAATCACTTTTTCCCGGCTGCAGCACCACCAGTAAAATACCTAAGTTTGGTCTTAAACCTCTGTGCAACCATTCCAGTACCGCGACTTTCAAGCAGAGGAGATTTGGAACAAACATCTTTCCATTTTCCTTGCATAACTTCACTTATAGCCTTAAATAAAGCTTCATCTTCTTCTTGAGTCCAATTAGCACGTGGACGTCTAGAACCATTGGCATCGGCGGAATCGCCATTAACGGACAAAGAAACAGGTGAAGACGAATCATCAACGCTAGAAGTTCGTCGACGTTTTTTGGAAAGCGATGACTTAAACTTTATAGAATATAAATATACATAACGATTAATAAATGTAGCTGAAACATCTTGAACTTTTACTAATTCATGACAATTATAACAAAATTACCTCCTCGGACATTTTAATATCAAGAATAAAGATGCCAAAAAAGGGTCAGAATAAAATATGAGATAAAGCCTTTTATTAATATACACAAAAGGAATTATTATAAAATAATCTTCACATATAAGTAAGAAATATGATATTTTTATGAGCGATATTTTATACTGAGTATATATATACACACAGTATATATAATGTTTATGATGCAATTGCACAAACATGTCCGTGAAATTGGATAAGCTAATCGAGTGAATTTAGACTTTTCTTTGTAGTTTGATTAATGGAAGAAACTTTCGTTAATGAGTGTTGATGTACAAATATATTGTTCAATCATCAAACTCAAATTTGTAGAAGCATGTGGCTTAATGTATCAGATTACAATTATTAAAAAAAAAAATCTGTCAGATTTCAAAGGCTCCTAATAATATAATAATAATATAATAATAAAAGAATGGGTATGATTCTCAAATTTGGAAGATGAATTTATAAGAAATTTGCGATATAATAGAAAATTGTATATATAAGAGCTTACACCAGGGACCGAAATCTATAAGACAATTATTTATTCGCATTTTTTATAAACCGAAATAGTCAATTCATATCAAATTTTGTTTTATGCATATATAGTTATTTATATATTAATATTATTGCAATTTATGCCTTTGAGTTTTCATTCCTTTGGTAGCATCAACATTTATATCAATAACAAAAGAGGCTCACTTGTTTCTACTAAAAATTTAATTTTTAGGTGCGCTAAAGATGATCGAGCTCCATGCCTAATAGACGAAACATGATAAATAAATTATCTTCTAGAAAGCAAGCGACTGATTATCCATCTCAAAATAAAAACGAAGCCACTCCACATCTCAGAATAAAAACGAGACCACTCCACTTCCGCTTCCATCTCATAATAAAAATAAAACCACTCCACCTCCGCCTCTATCTAAGAATAAAAATGATTCCACTCCACCTTCGCCTCATCACAGAATAAAAGTGAAACAACTCCATCTCTGCATCCATCTCATAATAAAAAACGAAACCACTCACCTCAGTCTCCATCTCAGAATAAAAGCGAGACCACTCCACCTCCGTCTCCATCTTATAATAAAAAACAAGACCACTTCCGCCTCTATCTTAGAATAAAAACGATTTCGCCTCATCTCAGAATAAAAGTGAAACCACACCGCCTCCCCCTCAGAATAATAAAAATAACAAAATGAAACCACATTACTTCCACCTCAAAATATAATAACAGAATAATTTCACCATCTCAAAACAATACGCCACCGGCTAACGGAAGTTGTATTCCGATGAATAAGAATGATTCATTCCGTAAACAAAATGCGATAGATGTGATGGTTTTAGAAAAAAGGGTTAAATCTTTAACTGCAAATTCAAGTTGTACTGAGGATCAGAATTAGAGTTGGCACTCGAAACGAAACCTACCCAAAACTAGTTTCGGAAGGTTCTAATCCGAAACTCTGAAACCTGAAATTCTGAAACTATAATCCGAAACTCCGAAACTATAATATAAAATTTTTAAAAATTATAAGTTATAAAATAAATT